TTCAAAAACCAAGAGTAAATTAGCACTGCGTATGTTGCTTGGCGCTATATAGGCAGCGTTGCCAGGTGTTTAATCTCAAAATTCTGGGAAAAATGTTTTTTTATTCATTCTCTTAAAATTTTTATTTATGGTAAAATGTGTAATAATACAAGAGCTTTTAAGACCTTGGCAAAAGAACTATTTGTGGTTTAATGCTGTTTTTTTTTTTTGGGGGGGGGGTTCTAGTGCAGATCTGGCAACCTTGGCCATGGCAAAACACATAAGTTTTCCTCACACCAAACAAAGAAATTCAAAACATTAATCAGGGCTTTTGTGATTTTTTTTTTATTGTTCTAGAAGCTGCAGTTGACCACAAGAAATAAAAGAAATAGAGTTTAATTGCACAATTTTACATGAAGCTTGTTCTGTACACAGCAGGCTTTTCATTAAAACCATTTAGTAATCAAAGAGCACAGCAGCCACATAAATGCCCTCCACACTGTTTACACTTTTCTGACACAAGAGCCTTTATTAAAAATGTTAAAAATGCCCTTGTATAAGAAAATTACGGATGCCTACCGGGCAATCAAAACGAAGGGTAAGAGTACGCTTGTGTGTGTTTTTGTTGCCGGTTTTTTTTGTGTCCATTTTGTTATTTTACTGTCCACAGGGAGTGGCAGAGTTTCTCTGGCCTTGGTCTTCAAATGTGTCTCCGATTTGGTACATTTACATTTGCTCATTTGGCTTACTCTTTTGTCCAACTTAAAACTGAGCAGTTGCATGAGGGTTACAGGTCTTGCTCAAGGACCCAACAGCGGTAGCTTGGCAGTGCTGAACGAAGAACCTTCTGTTTGGAAGCCCAAAGCTTTAACCACTGAGCCACCATGTAGTGGATTAAGTGCAGCACCTGATCACTTTTCGTCGAAGCCAGGGAGATTTACTCTGCATGCTCGTTAGACTCTCAGTTTTAGCTGTTTGCTGCATTCATTCTGGGTGGCCTCTGGGCTGCTCGACAGTCCTTTCCACGACATGTCTGTTCTTGTGTTCGGAGAGGTGGTGCTTTGTGGTAATTTGGTGGAGTGTGTGAGCCATGGTAGTGCTGACCATCAGAGACTGCGTCTGTGCCCAAATATGCCACTGTGGTTCAATCCCAGTGACAGCTTTTAAAAGATTTTGCTAATCTGTGTTTTGTTTATTACTGTTTTTGTCTTCTTATTTTCTTTATTTTATTTATTTATTTATTTATTTTGCAGAGATGTAATCGTAAAGTGCCTTAGGGTATGAGAAAGGTGCTATATAAAATCTAGACAAAATATTATTATTATTATTATTATTATTATTATTATTATTATTATTATAGTAGTTCTGGCTGAAGGACAGTGATTAGATTTGTTATTGTTGATTTTACATTAAATACACTGACACAATTAACAATTAAAAAATCATATTCAGTGTAATAGCGAGTTGTGATTATTAATTAGCCTCAAAGAGGAGAAGATCATGTCTGAGTGAATTATTCAGCTCTCACATACATCAGCTCATTAAGAATATAGGGGTCCATATGTCATTTTATTAAAGGAAGTGAAGCAAGTGAAATCTTATACTGCTTTCAGAAAAAAAATATCTTACTAATCACTCACTAAAAGAGGCTTCATTTTAATTGGGATTTTCCTTTTATATCTATTACACTGACACTTTTTTTCAGGTTAGGAATTGAGGAAACAGTATTAGTATTGCATTGTATTATTGCATTTCTGTTAAAAAAAAAAAAAAAAAAAAAAACAGCAGCTTTTTAACTTTATTGAAAAGTGGAATCTTCAAAATATTTATAAGAATTTCAGAAGTTCTTAGTATTTGGTGGGTCCTCCTTTTGTTTTAATGACAGTGTGTACTCCAGCTGGCACAGACTCCACAAGTTTATGTGAAAAAAAAAAATGAAAGGAATAAGACTTAAGGAAAATATGACCTTTTGACCTTTTGCATGCTCAATATCACATATTTGCTTAAATGTACATATATAGTGACCTACAATTAGTGCAGAATATTGACATTGAACATTTCCTTTCTTAAATTTTTTAAAATTCTAAAATGCCCCGTTTCTTTCCAGGTTAAAATTGAAAATAAAAAAATCCCAGATTTTCAGCGTGGTCTCAAACTCAGACACAGGCTCAGACTGGACCCCAGTGGACTTACTATTAATATTAAATTGTTATTAAATATTAAATAATTAATTATAAATATTAAATAATTATTGTATAAATTAACTCAGTGTGTTTTTAATGAAGATAATCCATTATTATTCATCCATTATTATACTAAAACTGGGAAAATACTGAAAACAATTTTGTCCAAATGGAAGATTATGTGCTTGACTCAGTTTCTCATAATTCTGTAGCCTAAAAATAGACTAACAATAAAACAATATAATATTATTAATCAATAAAATAATGAAACATAAAGGTATGAACCAGAAACACATTAGGTGTCACAGTCTCACCATGTATTAATTCCATTGTATAATCTTAATTAATAATTATATTCATTATCTTTAATGTTATATGTAATTGTATATTAATGTAAGTAGATAGGCCTATAATGGAGTGACAGGATGAGTAACAACACAGACAAGATAAATAAAAATATAATACAATAAGGTAAATGAATCATCAAGAACAGTGTGACTATGAAGGTAAGTATAGCACAGACAGGTAGAATAGTGACTCTCTCTCTCCCTGAAAGTGTTCGTAAAGCTTCAGCTCCCTGTGGTTACACGGGCAAATGGTCGATTCTGTCCCCCAGTGAGGTGACAAGGCCTGGAGTGTGACCCACACTGATAAATCTTCATTCCCCCTCCAACATGCTAATGAGGTCAAATGATGAATTACAGAGCCAATTAACCCTCCTGTAGTGTTCGCTACTTAGCAAAGTGCTCTCCCAATGCCCACATACCTTCTCTTTAGATTTTACATCAAAACTGTAACATTTCTTTTAAAAAAATCCCCACTATAATAAAACTTCATCTCAGTGATGATCAGTATAAACATTATTACGGATCAATTGACAGAATATCCGATGTGTTTAGAAGAGGTCCAGGACCAATCCATTTATTATGCCTTCAATCCATAGATGGAAAACGAAAACGACTTGTTTACTGAATTTAACAATTTATTGCCTTTGGCCACGAATTTACAAAAAATAGTTTTGTTTTTGTTTTTTATTTTAGTGGACAATCTAGAATATGATGTTTTACTAATTTACTAAATTACTAAATGCTAAATTGTAGATGGATATCTTGATAGTTCGTCGGGTTTACCTAGAAGAAAGTACCTTTATGAACGTCCTAGAAATGGCCATGATTAAGTCAATAAATTAGGGAAATGTGTTAAGCCCACAATATTATTGCATATGCAGTGGTTAGATTATGAAAAAAGTGTTGCTACTCATGACAATTTAAAACAAGTCACTTACTCTATAATCTACATAAGGTTTGATTGTTTGTTTTAAACAGAGAGCTGTAATCAATCGATTAATATTTCTAACTAGAGTAAGATGCAACTAATAGATGGATTTGCTCGGGGTTCTAGTGGTGTAACACAATGCTATTGTCTGTATCTCTATCTGTTTAATGCTCAAACTATTCATCTCTTTATCTGTATTCGGAGTTTACCCGGAATTAGGCAGATGAAACTTCCTGGCAAGCTTTCTTAAAAAAAAAAGAAAAAAAAAAAAAAAAAAACTGTACTGATACTGATACTGTACCTACTATCCTATTATTTGCATCTACGTTTGTATTTATTTAAAATGCATCTGCTGTTCAATCTGAATAATGCATTCATATTCATTCACATTCCTAGTGTGTATGATATTAGCTAGCTATTAAATGGTGCAAAGTTATGTCCTTTTCTTTTACCACAATTTATTTTTAGCATTTTATAACACTGCCTCTAATCATTTTTTAAAACTTATATTTCAGCTATATTTTCAGCTCTTCTTATTTCATCCTTCTTTCACTTGTTCACTCTTTTCCAGTCTCTGGCTCTATTTAAATTTTATCAGTCTGGCTCCATGAGGACACGTTCGTACTTGCTGATAAGTGCCACTATGTACACAAGATAATTTGCAGTGCACTGGAAGCAGAGGATACGGACTCGCTCATCCAGACAGCAATAAAAGAGAAGCCAGCCCTGCAGATGTGATAATTGACTCTAGCTGCTGTGGTTAGATGAGAGACAGATGATGTGTAGAATGAAACATGAAGGCCAGAGCCAATGCTGTGTGTTTCCAGTGTGATCTTTGCTATATATATGAGAAAAAAACAAACAAAAAAAAACCTCCAAGGTGGAAAAATAATCTGCTAAACAAAATGAATCAAAGAGATAGAGACAGAATGCAGTGAATACAAAAAAGACCAAACAGGGTTAAAAACAATGACCATTTGTGCAAGCTATCAATTGTAAAATAGATATTTTATTGATTGACAGTAGATAACTAAGAAGCCAGTGATTTATATTTAGCTACTCCAATGTCTTTCTTTGATAGTCAGCGAACAAAGTGTAAATGTGTTAGCTAACATTCTCTGATAAAAGCCTCTCAATGGCTATGTTTACATGCACATCAGATTCCCTTTAAGGTCTATATTTGGGTTGCAGCCATGTTGCCATTCCTAAATACCTAGCCTACAGCTAAGCATCTGTTAGCACCCACAATTCCTTGGGGACTGAGCATGCACATATATCAACTTTCAGTGGATTTTCTGAATAAAGTGTTTACATGTTACAAATGTCTGATTAAAACAGGCATATTCCAGGGGTGGGAGTCGGAATTTGGGGAATCAGAATATTGTCTTAATCCGAATCAGGCAATCAGATTGCAGCGCTTACATGACTCAATACTAATTCGAATATTACCAAATTCTGATTAATATCGGAATATCAATATTACATTTGCAGCATTTGGCAGACGTCCTTATCCAGAGTGACTTACATTGATCTCATTTATACAACTGAGCAGTTGAGGGTTAAGGGCCTTGCTGGGGATTGAACTCATGACCTTTCAATCAGTAGTTCAACGTCTGAACCCCTGAGCTACCACTGCCCAATATAAATATCGATGTGCATGTAAACTTAGCCATTGTAAGCCTTGCTAATGTATTTAAGATCACTCTAATACAATTAAGTTAGCTTTAATGATATGTTAACCCGTTTTTTAACAAGTTTTGTGTAAGAAACATACATAACCACGTGGCTGATTTTAGCCAGGGGAACAGTATTTATGATTTAGAGCAGACCAGCACACTGGCAAGTACACACAACAGGAAAACTGCAAATATTTGCCTGTGCTAAGAGTGGCCTGTTCTCCTGAAGGTGTTATTTAATGAAGTATAACCTTGTTGAATGGCAAACAGTCAGAGCTGTTTTAATGAACAAACTGAACAGTGAGGTTAATATGTGTCACGCTAGGCCAGGAGTGTGAGCTTTTCTGTTTGTTCACTTTATAGTTGATTTATATATTTATATTAAGAGATGTAAGCAGTCTTGTAGTAGTACTATTCTGGGGTATTATTAAAATTAATTCATTAATTCATTCAGTAGGCCTATTATACCAGGTCTATTGAATTTAATTGGGCCGTTTGAATTTATAATGATTCGTTTGAGGCCACTAGAGAACTAGATATGCTGTAGATCATACATTCATTAGCAGCAGTAGTATATCCACTGTACAGAATAAGGTCATATGGCACAGATATAGATCAGATGTTAACAAATCTCTATATAGTATCTAGTGTAAAAATACAGCTCATACAATATAATTGTAATAATTGTAAGAATAATACTGTCTGTACAAGCATATCAGAAAATATAAATTCTGCAGAACTCTATCATTCAGTGCAGCTATATTTGTGGTATGGGAACTATGATTAATGTGTATGTTAAGTATTAAGTAAATTATTATATTAAAGATGGAATAAAGCATAATGGGGTTTGCTGTTATAAGAAAATAATCAATGATTTGGTGTGATGCTGCCTGGCATGTAGAGAAGCAACTGTTACCACCAAAAAAGTTAATTATTTTCTTATAAAAGTATGTCCTGAAGTGCTTTATTCCTCTTATACCACAGCAAACTGCCACCTTATCTGTTTCTAGTTGTGTTTCATGTTGTAGAATGTCTGCAAAACAAAGAAGTTTCTTATCAGTTATGTTGTAAGACCTACAAACAGTCATTCCCCCACCAGCCTCTCTTTTTTCTCAGCATGTCATGTTACTGAAATACTGCAAAGCCCTCCATCCTGAAGACTTTTTCATGTTGGAAAACGTGAAGGAACAGCTTTATTACTGACTGGTGCAAAGCACTGACACTGGAGGCTCCTTCCATAAATGTTATATAAATGTGTCCTTAAAGAAAACTTCACCATATCAACAATTACACACATTTTTTTTAATCTATTTATGTCTGCTATACAACTCTCTATGTAAAATGTGACTATACTGTTGAAATGATAACACATTAGAACAAGCACATTAATGTAAACCTTGCAGCTGGAACTACTGTCAGAGCTGCTGTTATAGAAAATTAATACATCTGCCACCAAAGGTGCCATGTTCAAAAGTTGATTAACATATCTAGATATAAATATCAGGAAATGAAAGCTGAAATTCTGATCTACCATCTCATATTCATCTTTTGATATCAAACCCAAATATCTTCAGTGTATAGCAAAAAGGAAAGAATTGGCTGTTCCAATACTTTCGGAAGGGAATTTGGTTAGTTATGATACTGCTATAGTGTTACTGTGGTACCCTATTGTTACTATGTTAACTATGGTTGTTATAGCGTTGGCCATGATATTATCATGGTTTTACTCTGGTACATGTACATGTTAATGTTTGTTATTAATAGTAATATATCATAGTAATCATGATATAACTATCTATTGTAAGCCTTTCTCTTTTGCACCAAAGAAGCTGTGGGTAATTTTTGTAAACTGTGCTAATATACTGTATACATTAATGTAGTAGAGATTTTAAAGATTTATGATTTTAGTATATTAGCACACAGGTGGTAAAAGCTAAATGTTAGAGTTTGTTTTATTTGTTATATATGTTGAATTCATATGAGGGTATGCCGTATTCTCAAAACGCTTTTAATTATAAATCCAGAGAAGCAGAATGAGTATGCTTCTTATCTCCGTTATGCTCCAGAAATTTTCCCTTAATTAAACAAGGCACCTTTTTTTCTGAGCCAAGTATGAATCTTTGTTTCTGAGATATATTGGATCACTTCATGGTCATGCTGCTGTTGCTGCTGCTGAAGTGGATCTCTGTGTGTGCGTGCGTGTGTGTGTGTGTGTGTGTGTGTGTGTGCGTGTGTGTGTGTGTGTGTGTTGTGGAGATATATACAGTATGCTAGATAAGTCCTCGTTTGCATAATTGCCATGTTGCCACTATTCATCTCTTTACCCACCAATCAGTGAGCTGAATTCTGATTTATTTGGTCACATGACTCTCATACATCAAGCCACTGAGAGATGGTGTAACATCCAGAGATATGAAGAAAGGCCACTAATAGGATTAGCGTGTGTGCAGATGCATTTGAATTTCAATCCTTCTTACCCCATCTCGCTGTGTTAAAAGCCAGAAAGACTGACAAGCTTTATTCTGAATGCTCTGAATAAAACAAAATTAGTGTTTATTTAAAACCATAACCATCTCTGCTCATTGTTCTCATAGTGTGATCAACATAATCTTAATCATTTTGGTCTGCTTTTATACATGATAATCGTCCTGTATCCTTATTTTTGAAATGCCCTTGACAGCATACTCTTATTAATTTCTCTTTGGTTGAATTCCACTAAGATTTTAAAGTTTGTTTCATTATTTTATCTTTAGCTGGAGTGAAGTAGACTGAAAGGAAAAATCCACCCTGAAAGACCTGCATATTAATCTTTATAATTAACATATAATCTTTCGATATTTGGCATCCAAGTTCTTATTCTTATTAAGCTAACCTTCTCTCATGGATATGTTGGTCTGTTTTCACTTAGGTCGTAACTCGTAATTACTGACCTCTGACCAAGAAAAAAACAAAAACGCCCCTCAACTCAAAATTCCTACTCGGGAACTCGGGATGGTCTCCTCAACACTGAGTTCCTCCGAGTTCAGCAAGTGATATCAAATCAACATGGCTGCTTACAGCATCAACAGTAAACAAAGCAGCACTTTAAAGGAATCATGCTATATATACAACTATTTGCTTTTGTTCAATCAATATACAGACACATTAGCTTGTTAAATCTATAACAGTAATTATACAGTTTGTGGTTTTGAAGAGGTAAGTATACATCATTCCTCACAGTTAGCTAGCTAGCTTGTTGCTAACAAAAGACGAACATGGAGCCCCCCCCCCCCCCCCCCATTGTAGCTCGAATGCACAGCTGTCAAAAAATTAGCCCTTGCTTCATCTCTACCTAAGGACAGCGATGCAGCAGAGCTTTAATCCTTTATTCTGTCCAGTTCTCTCACCTCCTCATCTGTACATTCTGCTCAAACAGATCAGCTTCCAAAGCTTCACCTGTTGTGCTAATGCCACCATTAATACCATCGTTCTTCTCATCACATAGATCTCTAACTAGCCAAGCCGAGTCTCTGCTGTAGCTCAATTGCACTGCATTCTGGATCTTTGAGTCCAGTGTTTTTGCTGTCTCCACTATTTCTACCCTGGAGTTCTCATTAATATGATGTTGAACATCACAGAAAAAGTTGGCGAACGAGAAAAGAAGCTCTTGTTGAAACTGTTGTTTTTAGGAGCTAACAGCTAAACCTGCACTGTAAAGAAAAACTGTAGATTTTACTGTAACCTGGCAACCTGGGGTGGCAGTAAAGTACTGAAAAATTTACCGTAAACAACTGTAACACATATGTCCAGTAAAGTACTATAATGTCTTACATAGTATAAAAATAGCACATAATGTTAACACATAGTGATGGGATTTGAACACACAATCTTCTGATCTGTAACCCAAATCATTGAGTCACTACAACTAGCGTAATGAGCTTGCATTGATTCAATGCAATCTTTTAGCGGAGTTAATTCAGTGGTAGAAGTGGTTGGATCAATGCAAGCTAGTGGATAGAGATTTGAGTTTCAGGTCAGAAGGTCATGTGTTCAAATCCCAGCACTGCCAAACTCTCATGGTTGGGTTGTTATCTCTTATGTTTCATGTCATTAAATTTTTTTTTTCACTACACACAACCTCTAACTTCTGATAGAAATAACAAAAATACAGCTCCAGCTAACATATTAGCACCTGAATCACAAATATTTCAAACGAATTTAATGTGTTTCAGGGTGGAGGTTTCCTTTAAGGATCAAGACAGGTGTGCCAAAAAACCCTTCATGTAACATTTAATTTTGCTCATTTAAACTGTTTTTTTTTTTATTTCTTAGTCTCCTCCATCTGTACATGACAGTAACAGTGTTATTTTCCTAAAGAATTAGTGAGAAATTATGTTTCTGTACAGAGTTGAAAGGAAACAAATTGTACAAATCGCTTCAGCTATATTGTTTTTACTGCTGAGACCAAGAGTGTTATTGTACAAAGTGTTCCCTGCCAGGCGGACATTCCTCCCTTTGTGCACACTTGCGTGACAAAGGTGATGTGTACTTCTAATTCATGACAGTAGTTGAGGGCTTATTAAAAACGGCACTGAAAAGCAGGTCTTAGACTGGCTCCAAACATTGGTACTGGTTGTTTTTGTTTCTACTCTAATAGACCTAATCTAGCTAATCAGGTTATTAACAGGCCCTTCATGAGTCAATTTGAGTGTGTTAGAGCAGTAAGGTCTATCTAATGTGTTTATTTATTTATTTTTTTGTTTCAGATTGGAAAAAAAAATATCAATGATTTTTTTTTTATAAAATGGTGTCATATTTCTTCTTTGTTTTTCATTATTTCAGATTAAATTTGGGGGCTAAAATTAATGAACAATCTTGAATGATCCGGATGTGTATCAGCAATTACTGGGTAGATTAAGATTGCTCTTGATGTACTGCTAAAACAGATCATGACATGCTTTAAATAAATAAATAAATAAATG